TCGATAGTGTGCACCTTGAGCTCCAGATCAAGAGTGCTGGTCTCCAGGTAGCTGTCCATGGGTGACTCCATACAAGAAGTTTCGCAGCTGTTTGGAGGTGACGAATTCCATAGGCCTTCTCCAGTCAGGCTGCAATTGGAGATGGCTTCATATTTTGGTGTACATGAAGGTGATGGATGAAAGCCTGCTCCTGCTTATCGAAGAGCATCTTGGGTATCTATCTTTCCGTCCTAGTACTCGTATCCATATCTACACTCTGGGCTGCGTATTCTTTACTGATATGTGACTCGGTCAAAGCGCCTTTTTTGGCTGTCCTGCCTATAGAAACCGATGAAATGTAAAAAGTGAAATGTTGAGGATAATTTTCCCCCTCCCCACCGCGAAACTTTGAACGCGAGTTTACCCAATAGGCAGCAGGCTTTGAGGTTAGAAACAACCGCTGTTGATGATGTATTAGCGGTAGGCTACTCATTGAGGGGCATAAATTGAATAATTTGAATAAATCGACTCACGCCAGCTGCAACGTAGCCTGCCGATGTGCCACCTAGATGTCGATTGGCAAATCCAAATGATAACCATACACATATCACACTTAATATCGCAAGAATAAACGAATAGACGAGTTCCTGAAATTGCAAACTCTGCACTTCTGAGAGACATTACGATGAGCAGCTCTGAAAAGGAACTTCAGAAGGCGGATTTTGTTAGTTAATCAAAATAATTAAATCGAGAAAGATTACGGCAAATATTGTGTTTGCTTCTACTGCCGTGCCATCCGAGCCTTGAAGGTGGAGTTCCAGGCTGATCGTATGGGCGGATTCGGGCCTGACACCTTTTCTTCCTCGTTGTCAAGCCCATCCTCCATTCAAGACGGTGAGGAGCTGGAGCGTGCCAATGAGAAAGGTATTACGGTAGACCTGGTTTTGTTGCGCGTTTATGGGGAGTTAACTCAGCAACGAATTTGTCCAGGAGTAGGATGACCCCAGCAACTGAAGCCCTATGTCCAGTCAGTCCTTATACTGCCCCTGAGGTACATTCTATGGAAGAGTCAGGTCCAACTCTAGTTCATCTATTATCCCTCCTGATTTCATGCGTTCAACTCAAACCACGTTTTCGCGATGGGGCTATAACTTACTACGACATTCCATGGTATACTACCATTTGACATACTGTCCATGATTGAGTCTTGCAAGCCGAGTGCAAGAAGTGCTGTAGCAATTATGGAGACCTGAAAAGTTACATTTTTGGTAAAAAAAATTTGTAACTGTTGTGAAGAAGATCCGCAAAGGCAGAACTAAATCTTTTTCTTTCAGAGACATTAATTGTCAACTCTGAGTGCCTTTTGTCATTGAGTCAACGACTTTTTCAAATACAGTTATGATTGTGTTCGCAGGGCAACTCTTCCGATTTGAGCGAGCTCTACCGGAATAGGTTTTGCCATACTGCTCAAATGATAGTTGTATCGTTGCAACCAGTTGGGGCGGTGTCAGAAGGGGCGAGTTGAATTTCCTTCCGGTTGCTCTTTCTACCAATAATCAACTTGGTATGAAAACAACCAATGGCGAAGACGCCGCAGGTTGTCTCATTTCATGCCTCTTCGCACCGCCCCGACTGATCTCAACGATGTGAACTGCATATGACAAATGCGAAGTCCTAAGCGGTGCACAAGAAGGTCCTTACCGTCCCATGCTAGCAACTACTTGTTAACAATTCAACCTTTTTTTCGAAAATGGGTTTTTTTCTCAAGTTTTTAGGTCTTTTTCAGAACACGAAAAGAAAACACTAACCACCATGGATGTGATTATGACGAACCACAACACGCCATTCTCTGATCCATTGGTTGATCCAACGCAGATTGCAAGAATGATTGCGTTTATCTGTAGAAGTTACTGACAGGTAAAGCATATAAAACCGTTTCCCGAAGGTTCACGTAGGAAGATCTCCTTCGCGACGACGTCCCAAAGCTGGCCCATCATCTGAGGTTACATGCATAGCATTCTCACCAAGACCTAGCGTCTATATCCGAAGGCAGCAGGAGGCGGGGCATTTCATGTCGACTCTCCTCCCTTATACATATGTTTCTGCCTGTATTTCGTGGAACCCTCGCCCTCTCGTATAAGTCCTCTTGCTGCCTTCCGATATGGATTGTGGTGGATTTAAAGGCACTTGGCACGATAAATCCTCCCAAGACGAGTAGGATTAATACGCCTGGCAGGACGGAATTCCGCGACCCTGAGCAGGCGCTGCATAGCGCCTTTCTCAAGGAAGGTGCCCTTATAGGGTCCTATGAAGCTACAATATGCATGCCGGAACGCGACCGCACGCCACCCGCCCAAAATGAACGACCGTTCTCAGGCTCGGTGTTTCATTCATTTGCTAAAAGAAATTATGAAGCGAAGGGATTGGTATGAAGCGGCCGTGATGCTGCATGCATATATGGGTACATATGCAGCCGTATCTTCGGTAGCGGTGATTGGCAAGATGCCTACGGGAAACTCGTCCGAAATCGATTTCAAGTCACTGAGAACGGAGGCTTTTTCTTCGCAGGATTTTGACCGTTTCACTCCGTTCTTTCGCCATTTCCCACTATATAGCGCCCTACTAGCATTTTAGGCCGAGCACCAAATCATCGTGCCAACTGCCTTTAACGCGAATGTGCTGGAGCATGTGAACCGGCACAGATCACTCCACAGCGAAGTGGTCATTTTTGACTGCTGGGCAATGAGTGGGGTCCTGTTCTGGTTTCGAAAGGGACTTCTCGGATTAATGAATTTTTCCATTTCATGTTCGCTACACGTTTTCCTCTCCCCGTCTAACGCAGAACTTCCAGAAAATGTGGTAACAACTTGTTACGGGGTGGGTAGCTTGCAGAGTTACATTTTTATTTGCTTTTTTTGTGATTCCCAATTATGGAGTGATCTGTCTTTGTTACTTCATCGTACCCTCTTTGATAACCACGATTCTTTGGCCAAGATGGTTCGAAATTTCGAGTTTAAATTCTTCCCTCGCGAGGTGCCTTGAGGCCGCTGTCTGCAAGGGCGTGAGCCACCCCTACCTGCCTCCCCCCACACCTCCGAACATCGCGTCGTGAGCGATAAGGCTAACACTTGGATCGGAACGTTTTTATGAACCAAAGGACTCAAGGCGAAATGAGTGTGAATCTCATTTTGAACCTTATTACAATGTTTTTCTTACAAGAGCCTTTTTTGGACAATAAAACCAAGCAGACAAGTATGGGCACTGCTGCCACTACGGAGTGAGATGTGGCAACGATGTTACTTCTGACAGTTACCAGCCAGCACAGGAAGCAGGCCACAGTTATTCCACCTAAGACTATACCACGTTTACAGAACCACCTAAAATTCTATGACCTTGCCGCGAAATTATCTCCAGGGGCCCCTCCCCGACTTTTTGGTCATGAATTTCGCACTAATTTCGGTAGAGACGCTAGCGGTATGCGCTAGTCGTCATACGCAAACCACCTCTTGCATTCAAGCAGAACACGTCGTACGTGGGGTTTCAAGCGATGGAGGTCATATTTGGTCGTTGGAGGAAGGGACCGAAACCAGCACTCCTCCATCCTCCGCTCAATGACAGTTCTTCTACAGTTTTTGACCAGAAAAAGGAGAGAAAAGACTCTCTTTTTCAACCTT